GCTTATCATCCATAGGGACATATTTGATAACAAGGCTAATATAGTGGCACTGTTCCCAGAAAAGTACTTTCCATCAATCCGTTTAAATCCTTAATGCAAATAGATTAAAGGACCACTATAGTGCCCTGAGGGTGCCCCCACCCTCAGGGTCCCATTCCCGTGGCACTGAGGGGGGAGGAAGTGGTTAATCCTTTACCTTTTTTCCAGCGCCAGGTGCCTATAGTGGTCCTTTAAAGACTTCTCAACTGGTATTGTCTTGTATGAGAAACAATTAATACATTGCATGTACAATTTACAGTTAGTACAGTGCATGTACAATTTACAGTGGCATGATTATTCGCACCAATACCTTTTGTTGACTACACACAGTCTCATTAAAAACAACCCATGCACCTATACATTGTGTTCAGGGTGTCAGCAGTTGGCTTTTAAAAAATACATAAAAGAATCCCAGTGAACCTACAACCTTGCGCACGGAGGATCATCAGAAAATTCAAGTATGAATCATTATCTAATTTAAAGCTTAATGGTTCAAAATGTGATGTAAAAAATCTTACAGTTCCATCACAAGAAAATAATTTGGCAACTAAATTCCTGTTTAAATGGTGTAAGGATCAAATTAAGTTTCCGGGTATGGGGGGGGGGAAATCAAATTATTTTCTTGTGATGGAACTGTAAGATTTTTTACATCACATTTTGAACCATTAAGCTTTAAATTAGATAATGATTCATACTTGAATTTTCTGATGATCCTCCGTGCGCAAGGTTGTAGGTTCACTGGGATTCTTTTATGTATTTTTTAAAAGCCAACTGCTGACACCCTGAACACAATGTATAGGTGCATGGGTTGTTTTTAATGACTGTGTGTAGTCAACAAAAGGTATTGGTGCGAATAATCGTGCCACTGTAAATTGTACATGCACAAATTGCGGAGTTATAATTTATTGGCAATACAATTTAAAGAGGACGTTTAAACCTGACTTATCCATGTATTTTACAAATAAGTATTTGTGAGTTGGGAAAACAAAGATTAAATATAGGAATCCACACCCCTTTATTGTGCAACTGGGAGCCTCCATCTTGGTTCACTGTCAATCATATTTATAAGCTCCCTCCTTTTTTTTCAACCTGGCAGTCAGCATAGAGAAAACGTGCAGAGACAAGGAGAAATTAAACAATACTTTTATTTCTCCTCTTGGTTTGCAAAGTTTAACCTAGCTGTGCCTTGTCTGAGCTGGATTATGTAATTATCTATAATATAAAGTAAAAAGGGATTGAGCATTTAACTTAAGCTATAAATGTTTTTCAATATTTCATATAGTGTTAATTCCAGAGACGTGACCGTTGTAGATTGAGTACAAATTAAATTGCATAATCTACAAGAATAAAGTTCATAATTCCGTCATAAGGTGTTTACTACAGCCTGGCATTGGGCAGACTGGGCACGATTGCTATGGGCCGAGGCCGACGGGGGACATTAGAGGACCACCCTGCTGGCCCATGCAAAGCCGACCCTATCAAAGTGCCAACCCTGCTGTATGCCATGAAGGGCTTGCTCAGAGAGGGGAGACATTGTTTGTAAACCCGGGTGGTCCAGTACGGAGTTCACTCCTCTCCTTGGAGTAACCGCGGCCATGCTCTGACCTTGCTAGAGAAGGAACCTGGCGGAGCTGCTGGCTACTTCCTCTGCCAGTTCCCGCATTTCAGTGCCCTTAAGCCACTGGGGAGATCACCTGCCTGTCATGGCAAACTGCAGGGCCGGTGCTTGGATAGTGTCAGCCCTGCATTATTTAGTTGTAAAGTTTATCAATAAATGTTGGTGTTTTTTTGGGGGTTAAATAAAGTGGGGGGGAAGCACATTTGCTCACACAATTTAAGCCTTTCACCTTTAAGCACTTACAAACACTGCAACCTATACACACGCACCCTGCATCCCTCACATATTGCACCTCTGACAAACACACAATAGATTCCCTGTACGGAAAGGCACTCTCTATAGATCCTACACACGCTACATCACCAATACACACGTACACTACAGCTTTGTGCAGCCCCTAACCACACATTACACAACTGAAACCGATCTATTTGTCTCTGGTATCCCACTTATGCTTGTGACTGGTCTCTGGTGTCTCCATATTTGCTTGTGTTGTGCAGTACAAATACAACATGCTCACTTTGAGGGGGCGTGCTTGTCATTGGTGATGACAAAACACCCCCCACTCTGGCCCTGCCCTATTCTCAATGAACTGGTGTAATAAAAATAAAAAAAAAAGGACCAAAATTTTTTCCAAGTCTGGCCCTGACTACAGCATTGCTGGTCAGAGTGAGATAACATCCAATCTAATATGCTTGTGGTTTATCAGGGTTTGACCTTAAATGTTAATGCCCTGGATGATGATGTGCTAAATGGGGAGTATCACTAAACAATGCTGGTCTGCTAACATAAAAGTATTTTCAAGCTTTATTCTTAACAGTACCTGTGTGCTTCAAACGATTCACAAGCGTAGATAGGAGCTCCCTATAACTGAGCTGATATAGTGACAGTATTAATCGATGTAGCGCTGCACTCTTTGTATATACATATGTTCTGTATGAATGTATAGCATATCTTTGTTCCTTCACATGATCTTCATATCATGTATGTTTTGTGTGTTGCCTTGGTGCAGATAACCATGAGTGCAACCAGTGTATTGTCCAGTGCAAAGAGGAAGAGGACAAAACCCCATAAATTAGGAGAGAAAAAAAGAACATTTTCGAGGGGCGATTCAGATGAAGATGCGGTGCCCGTGTCTGAGGTAAAGTATATTGTAAAAAAAAAAAAAATGCATTAAAGAAACACTTCCTTACAGCTTCCTATAGTGGTTATGGTGCTCTGAGGCCCCCCATTCTAAGCAGTCACACCGTTTAAGAGCTAAGCCCTGTAAAATAGAGCTGACGTATGGGTTTAGAGCCTCAGCTGATCAGGCTCAGCCAGTGAGAATCCTAAGACGCGCTAGTGCCTAATGAGAATTGCAATGCATTTGCACATTGCCATTGTGTGTGTTATCCAAAATTCATATTCACATTGAAATAACAGGATGTTTTTAGTATCACTCCAATGGCCATTAAAGTGTACGCTCACCATCCCAGTCAAAACAAACCTTTTAGGAGAGTTTTACAATAACAATTCACCTTGCTGCTATCAGCCTTCAGAGAGGGATATTCTTATGAACCCGGACACACACATTAACCTTTAATAGGACACACATGGACACGCACAGCATTGTTACAAGAATGTGTAATACAGAAGCAAATACAAACACAAAATGAAGCACTGTGATTCAAACTCTCACTGCTCTTGGTAGGCAGTTAGAGGTTTTCCTTGACTGGACAGGTGAGCTTAAATTGGAGTCCCTTTAAATGACATGGGTGGCGGGTGGTGGGCCTAAAATGACAAGGGGGTGGGGGTAGCATAGGTTGGAGTGAGGTGAGGCCTAGTCACCCTTACCTTATAGATGTTTCATTTTTTCAGCCCCCAAAAAAGCCATAAATCCCGTGGAACTAATAAAATAAAAAAATGACCCAATCACCAAAAAAAAAAAAAAAAATGCCGGAGGGAAAAAAATCTAGGAGCTAAAAAATAAATCCAACCAATCAGAGTGCTCTGACAGGTAAATCTTAAGCTTAAAGGCTAAGGTCAAATAGGTCCCCTGTTTAGTTGACTAGCCCCCCAATCGTGTGGCACGGGTGGGGACTGGGACACACCCTATTTTCTCCCCCCCTGTTAATTACTTTTATAGGTAAATAAACGTGTTAGGTCCTCCTTTATTGGATTCAACGGGGGTGGTTATATATTTTTTTTTAATCTTTCCAGTAGTGAGTAGCCACTGGCTGCTCCCGGTTTAGGCTGCCTACTCACGGCATCCGGGAGTGTTTAATCTCCCTTATGCTAATAGTCATATTGACCCCCATAGAATGACAGGGGGCATAGGGGCGGTTTCGGAAGTACATGACCGTGCCGTTTTAACAAAATGGTAATAGATTTTATAATTTGAACGGGTTCCTCTTGTTGTATACCTTGCTTAGGTATTGGGTTTATACTTTCATGGAGAATATATTAGTTATCTATAAAAAAAAAAAGGGGGGGGGGGTTATTAAAGACTGGAAGTGACACATCATTATTCTTTTTATTTTTTTAATGAATTATTTGGATTGTGCCAGTAAGTGCACATTTATATCATATATGGAAACAGTGCCCTAACTTTTCTCCTTTATGGACCCAAATTCCTTCCTTATCACAAATATTTCACAAGCATATACAAATGGACTCCTGATAATTTTTGCTTTCCCACCATATAGATGATCTAACAAAAAGATAATAAATCTGTCAATCGTTTTGATGATCTGGAAATCCATTGATAAGACACTGCCCCCAAATTACTATTAAACATGTAATTATTAATTATATTAAGTACATGAATGCATCTCATAATACAAAACTGCCTTTTACAGATTATGGGAACTATTATAAAGTCAATATATTATGTTAACCACATGAAAATGACCCACTATTCTGTACCTGCCATTAGTAGATTATGTTGTAGGTTTAGACTGGGGTTCATCATGTAAGAGATCTCTCTCTATTAAAGAATCACTCCATGCACTGCAGCTTGCTGGAGTACTTTCTGTGTATGGAATATCCCACCCTAATGGCACTTTATAAAAGTGCCTATTTCACTGTTTAATCAACAATTATTTGTAAATTTATTATATATATATATAATTTTTTTTTTTTTTTTTTAAAGGACCATTATAGGCACCCAGACCACTTCAGCTCAATGAAGTGGTCTGAGTGCCAGGTTCCCCTGGTTTTACCCCTGCAGCTGTAAACATAGCTACTATGTTTACATTGCAGGGTTAATCCAGCCTCTAATGGCTGTCTCCCTGTCAGCCATTAGAGGGCGTTTCCACGATTTTCAGTGAGAAAATCGCACTGAATGACTCTGGACTCTGTGAGATTTGAGTAATGCTTTCCTATGGGTGGATTTGAATGCGCCCGTCTGGCTGCGTATGCGCATTCGGCTCCACTTGGGAGCTGACGTCGGCAGGGGGAGGAGAGGTCACAAGCACCGAGGGAGCCGGTGCTGGATTAAGGCAAGTGGCTGAAGGTGTTTTAACCAATTAACCCTATAGTGCCAGGAAAACTGGTTTGTTTTCCTGAAACTTTAGGATCCCTTTAAGAAACACTTACCTGGCTGTCAAACAACCATGGAAATTTTCTACCTCCTGATGTTAGCTCCGCTGAGCTAGTAGAAGTAGCAGGTGTCTGTCTTCTCCCATGAGTCAATGTGAGCGCCCACGCACACTTACCGGACTCTGTTTTACCTGGCTGCTTCTTCCACACCCCACATCTCCTGTGTTCCCTCTCTCATTTGTCCAGGGAGGTGTACATGCGCTCCCCTATATACTTTTTGTGAGCAGGGTTGTGTAAATCAGTCTTTCACGCTTCCAACCAAACAAGACCCACTGTTTGACACACACAATCTGTACAATCCTTTGGACAGACAGTTACAACTATTGTGGTTAACTTTACTGTAAAACAATACAATATACTTGTATTTCATGTTAATTAACAAGTCACTTGTCCACTTTCCCTTTAAAATTTATTTCCTGCTCTATAGTTTAAGTTGTTTTTCCTCCATGTAGAAATAAATATATTTTGACCTATATTCTTTTGTAAACAATTTGAACTCCACTGGCTTTTTAGTCCTTCAAAAATCTCTTTACACAATGCACTCCAACCTCCTCAGACACAGAGAGTTTGCAATGAGGATTATCAGAGGGACCAGGAATACCCCCCGGCACATGCAGCCAAGGAGAGTACATCCCACAGAAGGCGGCCAAAAGGAAGCAAGGACAAACCCTTGACCAGTGTAATGGTGAGAGTATAAATGTCTGTGTCTCTTCTCCCCCCTTTCTCAATAGTTCTAATTTCTTTATAGTTCCCATGTCTTTGCTTTCCCATTTAAACTTTTCTCTCCCTTCTTTTTTCCTTTTCACACCTTCCGCACTTTTCTCTTCACATTCGCTATTCTTCATCTCTTGTTCCAGCAGTAATAAACCTCTGCTTTGATAACAGATTTTACACATTCTTACTTCCATTCTATCTTTGTCTTTAGGTTGAAGTGGTGCACATTGTATATGTGTTCACACATGGCAAAAGTGCAACCTGATCCATAGATCTTGTTTTATTTTATTTTTATAATACAGGGCTTGTATCCAAGCTTGTCAGAAAAAAAGCAGCTGTTAAGCATTGACAATACCAACAGCTGGTAGATGTTGCAACAAAAAAAGTGTTCCATGGTGTACTCCAATCGTGTGGACAGACAGTTACAACTATTATGGTTAACTTTACTGTAAAACGGGGTGGGGCCTGACCGCCATGCTGACAGGTCGCATGGCACAGAGGCTCCTGCTGAGTTCAAGCTAAATGGCAGAAATACTATACTTATTTGGGCCAGGGGTGTTATTCCGGTTCCCACTGGAGGGAGCCGATGCTTAGCAACATACATCAGCGGGGAGCGCCTGGCACACAGGCCCATGTGCTTTGCCAACAACATGGTGGCCTCAGAGCACACATCGGGCGCGATCACACTCACTGCTCGCAGGCTGCATTAAAAGCAGAGACATTTCACTTTGAGTCCCTGGATTATTGCAGCGTAACTTTTTTTTTTTTTATAACCAGATGGAGTAATCTTTGCTTACCTAGCTTCCGTACCCAGAACCTGGGCCTGGTCCCAATGACTGCCATCCTGGGCCTTGAGCACCTAGAGGACATTCCTTGAACCGCAGCCCTACTCCTTGATGGAACACACTTGCCAGGAATCAAGTTGTCTGCCATTAATGGCATCGAAACCGAGGTGCAAGCATTCGGCTCAAATGGCGCCCGGGGCTGGCAAAGTGGCACTTACTGGACTTACCCTCTCATCAAGATCCAGCTCTCACTAAACACATGTTGGCGGCAGGAAAATCACAAGTCCGGTGGATCCGGCAAGCCTGACCGCATACCGTCTCCAGCAGCTCGGAGGCGCTGGGCTTTCCCAACAAGACTCCAGTGGTGTTTTTCTTTTCATTCACTTCAGCTGAACTTGTTACTATCTTGATTACACTAATTTGTTTTTCTAAAAGCGGGCACTCCAGCATAATGATGGGCATCTTTAATGTTCTGGTTATTAATATCTGTGCTCTCTAAATTTACACCATAAAATACGCAGCGCTTAACATTATATATTGTAATGTTATATATTGTAATTGCCTATTTACTCGACACTCTACTTGTACAGAGATAGCACAACATTGTATAGCATGTCAGCGTTTATCGGCTAGCACTGCTCACGTAGAAAAAGAGGACAGCATTCCATGCTTACAGATGCAATATGATAGCCCCCATGCCCATTAGTACGGTTAAATATCGAAGATGATCGTGCCTGCCTATTCAGCCTGTATCGCATTAAAACTGAACAAATTAGTTTGTTTAGATCAGGAGTTATCGTACATTGTATTCCGGCATATAATCATATGTACTGTTATTTCTTTCTTCTGTACTGTATTAACTTTGCCTCAATGAAAAATTTGACCAAAAACAAACGTTACTGTGAAACAATATACTATGCCTTGGTAGATAAGGATTTCATGTTGGCATCCCCTCACAGATCTTGAAACTCAAGTGATGCTACCACCAAGCATTTTACTACATAGCACATTGAATGTGCATCAAGAAAACGGTGTATTCCCAAATTCAATGCTGTATCAACTCCATCAGGGCCTGTAGTGTGCGATTGCACACCCTTAAGGCTGGCCCAGAATTTGCCACTGTCTGTTTTCTCTCTGCCTATTCTTTAATTTTCATCAAACTGTTGATCATATTCAAGTTGTACAATGGATACTGTCACACTACATGATTGTGACAACAAAGGAACTATGCCCATAGTGCATTGTTGGGGGTACACACAATTATGAACCTCTGTTGACGGCAGCTACCAAACAGTTTTTAGATAAAGGTTAAGTATGGCTAAATTTGTCATCTGCTACCTTCTTGCTACATGTAGAAACAAGCTACAATGGTGTATTGTGGCATTCAAAAAAAGACTGCAAAAACCTTCATAAAGCACCTATCAAGTTTTACCATACATCATCTTCTGTACTCATCCTGATGTATGTGGGTATGGACAATCTCTAAGCATTAACATCCCCTGATTGTTGTCTCCTTCTATACTTTATGTAATCTTTCTCAACCTACTTTTTAGCAGATACAATATCTTATATCACCATGATTCACTGCTGAAATGTATACCGTGTTTGAATTTGTCGGTCATTTGTTCTAACTAAAAGTGTAATAGAAACATTTATTATATTATTATAGAGATCCTTCTAGGAAAAAACAACTATCTTTTAAATATATAAAATGAAATAAAGTTTACTTTCTTCACAACAACAAAAAATTGGAAATGTACACTATAATTATAATGGATCTCGGAATTACTATGTAATATGTGGGGTTAGAAGAGTGTCCTTTTCAAAACGCATTTTCTATTAAGCGCTAACAAATTACAGTTTCTATTTTTGTGGCTAAAACTGTTTTTCTGTTGTGAACAGCCCCTGCCCTTCATTAGAGTGAAGTTATAACCTGAACCCTTGGATGTCTTCTCACTTATTGCAATTTGTTTCAGGCTGCCAGAGCAAGGGATGAAGAAGATGAGAGTAAACAGGAATGTGCAACAGCACACCCAGATGAGGCCAGCACACCCCAAAAATATCCAGACACACATGAAGGAGCCCCCAGAAGTAGAGGAAGGCCAAAAGGAAGCAAGAACAAGACATTCTCTGGTTCTCATGAAATAGTGAGTGCTGTCTGTATGTCTCTGTCCTTCACTGTCTGAGCATTTGACTCAGAAAGCTTGCACTTTGCAGAGTAGCCCTGTAAATCATTGCATGGAAGCCTTATTTATGTTAAATATTAATTTTCATAAGAACCAAGCGGAAGGTTATCCTGGGCCAGGTTGCTACCCTGGACCTCTCAGAAGGGGGATAGCCCTTACTGAAATTAATGAGGCCGAGCAGTAAAAAAGGAGGGAAAAAATCAGAACTGGCTAATACCAAAATAGGATAGGATCCTAATATGGGAAGGCAGGGGGGGCAATATTAATACAATTACAAATCTTTATTGAAAACCATTTGGATGTTAGAGGTAGGAAAAACAATTGGAGTACCGACTCACAACTCTTCTACACTTCAGCTCATGTAACAGTCCTAAATGACTTACATTAAAAATGTTGTGGCCTTCCCGCCCTGCTTTGTTGTTGTTGTTTGATTTATTTGTGTATCATTGTAATATTGCTCAGGTAATTTGTTTAGGTGTTCAGAGCCAGAAACGAACAAGATCACAAAAGTTCTCATGTAACATCGATCTCCAAATCAGAGCATCCGAATGGAGGGGACATTTCTCATAGGGGGAGAGGACGACCTAAAGGAAGTACGAAAAAGATCTACCCTGCATCCTTGCAGGTGAGGAGGATTCTGAAATCGAAAGTGTCATGTGATTACCTTTATAGGAAATAGAATTTAAAGTGGAACTGCCCCTTACTATTTTGCAGAACCCTGTAACTAAATTAAGGTCAGTTATAGGTTGTGCTAAAAAACGTTTTTTTTGTTTTTTTTTAATTTTGTATTTACATTATGTCCGGCATTTCTGCCCCAGCCAGAGAATAAACGATCTATCTAAACCTCAGGGTGCCATGCTTGTAAAAGTTTGCAGTGCTGTAAAATGTTTTGCTGTTTTCAGCAGTGTAACCCAGCCTCATTAGCCACACCCCCTCTCAGTTCAACTTGTTCCTGATTCCCAGTCTCTGAAAGAAAGGTACCTTTTGCAGGCAATGAAAAGACATGTTATCTAGTGTAAGGAATGCTCACCGCACAGACTGCACTGCACACATGGCTACAGCCCATATGTGCTCCTCTCCCTACCTCCCTGTAGTGCAAGGAATACATTCCCTTCCAGACTCTGTCAGCCAGCCTCACTACCCAGTGACAACCCCTTCCCTGCCTGCCAACCTCACTACCCAGTGGTAACCCTTCTCCTGTCAGCCATCCTCCCTGCCCAGTGTTAACCCCTCCCCTGCCAGTCAACCTCACTGCCCAGTGTTAACCCTCTTCCCCTGTTAAGCAACCCCTCCAGCCCTTGTTAAACTCCAGCAAAAAGTATGTTATTTGTTTCTTTGAGGTCTTGGAATCCATGCAGGTTTAAGTCATGCTAAGGAACCATATTCAGCAAAGTGTATTGCCTGTGGAACAATCTAGTTAGTATATTTTGTAACAACCAGAGCATACAACCGCAGTGTATCCTGGGCTGCCAATGAGTTTGCTACCAAACAAACGTAACCTTGAGAAGTTAGCAGTGGAGGTTAAGCAGGCCTAAACTAGTCCACCTTTAGTGCACAGGCAATATCGTCACACTTACCATCAAGTATTTAACTTGTTTTTTATTCATCTACTGACTATGCACAATGACTAAACCCCTAGTGTATTTGTGCATGTTCCAACCTCCTTCCACTTTTAGGGTTGGGGCAAATGTTGCATAAAATATCAAGTATGCGTTTCTCATACCCTGTGGGGAAAGGTTTAAAGGGACATTATGGTCACCAGAACAATTAAAGCTTATTGTATTTGTTCTAGTGATTAAAATCATTCCTTTCAGGCTTTTTGCAGTAAACATTGTCTTTTCAGAAAAAAATGCAATGTTTACATTACAGTACAGCCTAGGGATAACTCCACTTGCTACTCCTCTTAGAGCAGGGGTTCCCAACTCAGTGCTTAAGTATCCCTTAACAGTCCAGGATTTAGGGATTACCATGTTGTGTCTAAGGTGTGTAATTTTTTTCCCCCTAAATTCGTTTTTCTTAGAAACAACTGGGTAATCCTGGACTTTTAGGTGGTACTTGAGGACTGGGTTAGGAACCACTGCTTTAGAGGTGCTTGCTGGGGCAGTGCTGCACACGGTGCAGTACTGTTATTCATTGTCTCCACCATCTGCATGGAGACGATGAACTTTCCTCATAGAGATGCATTGATTCAATTAATCTCTATGAGGAGATGCTGATTGGTTAGAACTGTTTGATTTGTGCTGTCTGCCCCTGATCTGCCTGCTTGACAGTCTCAGCCAATCCTATGGGAAAGCACTGTGGCTCACCGGATCAATTCTGATTGTCAGCTGTAAGCATGCAGGTTAAAGGCAGCAGCTGCAGACTTGAATACAAGTAAGATCTTACCATATTTAGGAAGGGTCGGGGGGAGGGGACCTAGATGGTGATTTTTTTTTTTTTTTTAATTCTTTATTTTGGTTGTGCAGATGATCACAAGATGCAGACAGACGCCACAACAGCGTGTTGCAAGTATAGATATTAGACAGTGGCATTGAAACAGGCACATTTTTTTTAAATTTAGATAACTTGCGTTGCTAAACATTTGCTTTGTCAGAGTGGTGATTAAATGAACGTTGTTCAGCAGGTTAGTTAGAGTACAAGAAGCAACTGCTCACATAGCTAGTGCGATGGCATTAGAGTTAGGGTTGTATGCACATTCTATGTGTATGGTTCAAATAACGATTATTAAGGTACATGCTATATAAAATAATGTCAAGTGTGGATTTCTCCACACTGCTTGAGAGTAACCACCAGGGGGCAGAGAGTCCCTGAGCTTGTCGGACTAAGCACATATGTGTGCTTAGGCATTTTTCTATGCAGTTCTGCAGTATTAAAATCATTAATAGTAAAAGCAAAAAAGAAAATCAAGGAGATGGTAAACAAAATAATATGCAGTGCTATAATTGAGTATAGATTGTTAGCAGTCGCTTTGTTACTCTTGCAGCAGTGCTGAGTTGGCTGGCGTCCTGGCCATGATCAAGTCCCCTGTGGTTCACGCCGTTTGCTCGAGGGCTTAGGTACTTGGTGGTCAGGGGCGTGCTTGGTCTTGTGATTCCGCTGGTATCAGCCTGGCATGCAAGATGGAGCCTGCTGTGTCCGTTGTTCCTCTTTGTGTGGGTGGAGTGAGAGTCCAAATTGGGTGCCCTCGGGACCGCCGGTAGTAGTGAGAGGTGTTGTCTCCAATGCTGTAGATGGGAGCTTGTGGTCCGGTTTGTAATGGTCGCGGCGGCCATCTTGGATTTTGCCGTGAGGTCTCCATTTGGTCCGTTCACCGCTCGGTTGGAGGAGGTGGTCTCTGCCCCTCCGGTGAGGTCCGGGATAACCCCCCCGGCCCACAGGGGGGGAGAATGGGGCCCTTAGTAGGTGTGAGAGAGGTCCCGCCGGACTAAGCACGGGAGATCGGCCGCTTCTCCCGCCAGAGCCTCACGACAGGCCACAGTCCCAACTGCCCAGCATACATCGCTGCCGGTAGGACGGGGGCCAACCCGGATAATGTGCGTGGTTGCTTGAGTCCCCTTAGCTTTCTTGTAACTGCTGGATGGTAGTTTTTCAGGGGAGAAAAGTTCATTTCAGGCTGGTTATAGGAGATTTATTCAGGAGCCGAGGTGCCCCACGTCCATCCAGCTCTGCGGTCAGGCCCCGCCCCCAGGTGATTTTAACTCTATAGGGTCAAGAATACATGTTTGTGTTTCTTTAATTAGTGGGATTCCCTATTCTGAAGTCCGTTCTGACATCAGAAGAGGGATTACCCAGATTATCATTTGCTAATCAAAATGTTTAAAATTTGTAGCAAGTGGTTTTTTTTTTGGTTTTTTTTCCTGTGGTTGTAGGGGGCTTTTTTCCTCCCCTCTAACTTATTTTTAATGATGTAAAGCGGTAATTAATAAAAAAAAAATATAATTTTTTTTTTTTTTAAATATTAATTACACTGTTCAAAAAAATAAATGGAACACAAAAATAACATCCTAGATCTGAATGAATTAAATATTCTTCTGAAATACTTTGTTCTTTACATAGTTGAATGTGCTGACCACAAAATCACCCAAAAAATAAAAAATGCAAATCCAATTTTTCAACCCATGGAGGTCTGGATTTGGAGTCACACTCAAAATTAAAGTGGAAAAACACTACAGGCTGATCCAACTTTGATGTAAAAGTTGGATCAGCCTTAAAACAACTCAGTAGTGTGTGTGGCCTCCACGTGCCTGTATGACCTCCCTACAACGCCTGTGCATGCTCCTGATTAGGTGGCAGATGGTCTCCTGAGGGATCTCCTCCCAGACCTGGACTAAAGCATCTGCCAACTCCTGGGCAGTCTGTAGTTCAACGTGACGGTGGGTGGAGCGACATTTGTGGCCTGCTGGAGGTCATTTTTGCAGGGCTCGGGCAGTGCCCCTCCTGTTCCTCCTTACACAAAGGTGGAGGTAGCGGTCCTGCTGCTGGGTTGTTGCCCTCCTACGGCCTCCTCCACATCTCCTGATGTACTGGCCTGCCTCCATGCTCTGGACACTACGCTGAGCTTGCATTGAGGTGCCATCCTGGATGAGCTTCACTACCTGAGCCACTTGTGTGGATTGTAGACTCCGTCTCATGCTACCACTAGAGTGAAAGCACCGCCAGCATTCAAAAGTGACCAAAACATCAGCCAGGAAGCATAGGAACTGAGAAGTGGTCTGTAGTCACCACCTGCAGAACCACTCCTTTATTGGGGCTGTCTTGCTAATTGCCTATAATTTACACCTGTTGTCTATCCCAATTGCACAACAGCATGTGAAATTGATTGTCACTCAGTGTTGCTTCCTAAGTGGACAGTTTGATTTCACAGAAGTGTGATTGACTTGGAATTACATTGTGTTGTTTAAGTGTTCCCTTTATTTTTTTGAGCAGTGTATGTATAGGTGTGTGTGTAAAATATATAGAGAGAGAGAGAGATATATATCTATATCTCTCTATCAGTGTCATCAGCAAGTGTACGACAAGTAGTACAGAATAACCGGTAATATCGGTATAGGGGGAAACAAATACATACATGTATAGTAAGGTAAGATCATTTTATGTAAGACTGGTAGACATTTAATGCTAAAAAAAGTTTCATCTGATTTCCTCTTCAGGTTTCAGGAAAGTCCAGTGGGGATGATGCACCAAAACGTTCGAGAGGTAGACCAAAAGGAAGTCCAAATAAAAAACCTTCAAAGGCTGCTTTAATGGTAATGGCTTAATTTAAATAAAATTAAGGTTCTGGGGTCTTATTTTATCGGGGAAATTTTTGCTTAATTCTTCAGCATGCACTTCTTTTCTTGAAACCATAATTAATAACTACATTGCTCTCTTTATTCATATTCTCACAACCTGATCTTCATATTTCAACAGTTGAAATATGGAATCCCAAAGTTGGGGAGAGGAAGACCCAAAAAGTTACTGGCAACAAATGGAGCAGTGACTCCGAAACGAGGCCGGGGAAGACCAAAAGGTGCTGTGAAGAAGACCCCATCGACAACGAAGGTGAAGGTGAGACAACTTACAATGTAAATCATGATATCTGGGGTGACATTGAGAACTGAAATATCTTGTCCTCTGTGACTGGCTATAGAGAGAGAAAAGGCATTGTCCAGATTGGTCTTTTAAATATCCCATTATTGGTTTTAAAAAGAAGAATCATTGCAATAAAGTTAAACAGAAGAATCTAGACGTAACTAGCTTTTCTGACACGTAAGGCAGTAACAAATATTTACAAAACACAAGAATGCACAGCAATCCACAATAAGGAATATGAAATCTTTATTCTGTATAAATAAACAGATCACAAACCTAAAGTGTAAGGCTAAATAAACACAGCAGTCCACGTGTCACAGGAACCCCCTAATATTTTGGCACCCACTGTTTCCTTTCTCAAGGGATTGTTACTATCCGTTGTTTAGTTATACAGAATGAAGATTATTTAGTGTTGATTTCTGTGCATCCTTGTATTTTGTAATTAATTTTGGTTTTGACACGTGGGGGAGTATCTCATTTCGATTGCGTCCGTTCTTATTTACTTTTGAACTATTACTTTTGTATGCTTTATTATATGGAAAAGGCAGTAACAAATATACCATGACACCAGAATGGATCGAGATCTGGGTTACTTTATAGATATCCAACATCTCTGTAATGTTGCCCTGCATCCTTTTGGAAAAGTAAGATACAACTATTATTCAGATGGTATTTTGTATTAAATAAGTTTTAAGAATATATGAAACAAAATAAGATCTTAGGAATTTTTCTTCAAAATGCCATATAAAGATTCCTGGAAATCTGCACGTAAACGGTCATCAAATTTTCACTTCTCATACTGAAAAAAAACTACAAATAAAGAATGTTACGAAAAAACTTTCACTTCTTGTTTTTTAAAATATATTTCATTAAATGTTGCTTAATAATAATTTTTAATGTATATAGATGTTTTATTTATTAAATGTTTATCTAGCCATGTTGTGCCAAACTGTTATCTGATGCATTCTGTCTACTGAGACAGATAAAACAAAAAAGTAACATCTTCTCAAAAAAGAGGGTGAGTGTGCTGAAACGGATGCTAATGACGTCATAGAGAACATGTACAATCCACAGCACACCTTCATTAAAATTAACCCTTGTGAGAAATTCTATAAATCCAGGTAGAGATTTTAAACACCACATTTGTACAGGAACAGCCGAGGAAGATGAGGAGATGGTGAGTAAATAGTATGTACAAATATATACAAAGAAAGATACTGTATCAATCCACATAATATAGGACCACTGACTCCTGGCCCAAAGGTAAGTGCATACATTATAACCTTTATAAGGCTAATCTGCAGGAAAGAGGCATTCAGCTAAACTCTGTGAGACTGGGACATCATAAGGTCATATACAAAAAGATACAAATAATATTAACATAATTAAACACAATCACGTTAATTACCACAGGGAATATAATAAGCATATTATAAACTGATCATAAACTAAACGGGTGATGGAATAGTAGACAATTCTGTATGCCTTTAAAAAAATCAAATCAAAAGCAAGCGTTCTTATCATTTAATACAAGTGAAGATAAAACGCTTTGAGCTATTCTGCCTCTCGGTTGCCTTATTGTGGTAGAGCCGGGACATGATTTATGCTTATAAATCAGACAGGACAGTGGGTGCCCTGCATCAGCAAAGTGACATGCCACCGTTCTCTTGTAGATATCAGGTGCCAGAGCTGCAAAAATTGCCAATCTGTATCCCCTTATCCTTTCTCTGAAATCATTTTAGGTCTTCCCAAAATACATAATATATAACCACAGGGGCAGATAATTTGACATACCACGTGTGGTACTGCAGGCTATACATTGCCTGATTTTAATATTCCTTGCTGGTTCTAGGATAGAGAAAAAATTTAACGATATGTCTCTCATTAAGTTTCATTTATTACTATGAAAAATATGGAATACAAACACCTCTATATGCAATATAGTAATGAATAAAATGACTTATTTCAAAAAGTCAAATGCACATAAAACCATTGGATCTGGCACTGAACTTGTTAACGGGCAGATCGAGCGGAAGTTTCAAACATCAGATCCCCGAGCAGTAACTTCTCTCCTTCTATGTATGCTTATTTGTGATATCTTAGAACTAAGTATCACCATTTTTGCATGTAAGGGTTCCCTTTGGGGGGTGAAGGGTTTATTTATATTTATTTAATTCAATTACAGTTTTACACTATGAAGTGTTTTCTTGTATCCTTTTAACGTACAAACAGATAGTGTTACATAGTATTTTAAAGACGCTGGAACACAGTAGAAAAACTGAAGCAACCCTAATAAGACTACTCCCCAAAGACTGTTTTGGACTCTGCAACAATCTTAATGTGTATATGGAAGTATAGATCCAATGGTTTTATGTGCATTTGACTTTTTTTTATTTTTTATTATTATTCATCATTACTATATTGCTTATATAGAGGTGTCTGTATTCCATATTTGTCATAGTGATAACCAATTTCGGGTTTTCCAAGTAGAGCGCTTCCACTTATCTTTACATCTCAACTAAAAGATTTTTATTTTATTTTTTGTGGATAGCAGCTGTTTTATTTTCATTTGTCATTTCTAAATATTGTATACTTTTATCAGAATTGCGCTCTCCTAGTGTGTTTATATTTAAGTTTCATTTATAATAAACTTTTTTTTTTTTTGTGAAAATTTGCTGACCGTTATTGACTTAATGTGGAGATTTTACAGGGTACTTTTATATGGCAGTTTGAAGAAAGGGATTCCTTGTAGTTCCTGGAGTTATTTGTTAGCATGTACAAAGACATTCTAAAGCATTATCTTCTGATCTTTATTGCACAAATCCTTTCTTTGACTTAGACCTAAGTGATACTGAACTCAGCCATCAGTGTTTGTTTTTGGGTGATCGCACTGCATCAAAGTGATTCTTTTTAAAGCTGGTTACAAAAATATCATAGAAATATATACTAAGTGAGGATTATTAAAGTTGATGGTGTGGAGATGACCTATTTAATATTCGATTATTTTTTATTTATTTATTTTTCAGGTGGCACATGTGACAGGGGGCTCTGGACTAAAGAAGAGAGGACGGCCTAAAAAATCAGACTCTGCTCATTCAGCAAATTTAACCCATAAACGGCCCAGAGGGAGACCAAAGCTTGTGGTGAAACCTGTAGCTGTCAGCAACTCTGAGGTGAGAAAAATTAGAGAGACCCTGTAGGCACTGTAACTGCTTTCTCATTGAAGTGGTTGTGGTGTATGGAGTCGTCTGGTACGATCCTTCCATTCAGCATTGAAACGTTTTTTGTTTTTTTTGCCATGTTAAGGCTAAGTCCCCAGCAGGCAATCCTCTCTGTGCGGTTTGGGCTAATGAGGAAGTATTAGCCTGAGCAGCAGTGCGCTGTTGTGATTGGCTGAGAGTGTCAACTGACCACTTTCAGACTGTCACGGCACCCATTGCTGATATGAGTTGGTATGTTAGAATGAAGTGTGCTATTTCTGCCTTAACCATATCTCCAGTAGTGGCTGAGCTGTGGGGAAGCCAGAGGCTTTTACTTACTGTGAAACTGCACAAAAAGGCTTTTACACTGAATAGGCAGAACGCAAGGATACTCAAGATACAATGATTAAAGGGACACTCCAGGCACCCAAACCACTTCTGCCTATTGGAGTGGTCTGGGTGCCAACTCCCACTACCCTTAACCCTGCAAGTGTAATTATTGCAGTTTTTTTTATAAACTGCAATAATTACCTTGCAGGGTTAACTCCACCTCTATTGGCTGTCTACTAGAGGGCACTTCCTGCTCTGTAGCACAGAGTATCGCTGGATGTCCTCATGCTGTGAGGACCTCCAGCGTCGCTCAATTCCCCATAGGAAAGCATTGAAAAGCATTTTAAATGCTTTCCTATGGGGAGCTCTGCTGCGCGGCATTGCTGAGCATGCGTATTAGGTCTCCCCGGCCGGTGGGCAGGATCAGTCTCTGCCACCGGCCGACGTAATGCCTGGGAGGAGCGGCGGCGAGAAGAAACCACCGCTGAGGGACATAGGCTGGGTCTCAGGTAAGTGAACTGAAGAGGTTTTCACCCCTTCGGCTACCGGGGGATGGGAGGTGGGAGGGAGAGGGACCTGCAGTGCCAGGAAAACGGATTAGTTTTCCTGGCACTGGAGTTTCCCTTTAAATGTGATGAAATGGTTATAGTTTAGTTGATGTGCCTAAAAAGCGCAAAACAGAGGATGGCTTCTATGGTGAAGTAAGTTTATTCAAAAATAAGTAACAGAACACAAATATGCTACATTAAAAATAAAGTATATAAAAACAATGATTTGATTAAAGCACCCACTTTATAGATGTATATCTGTACATATATATCTATATATTGTGAAATATGTGGGTACTTTACTCAAATACAATCCCCTGTGATACAAATCAACATTCTGAGACACACAATTAAAGGGACACCATAGGCACCCTGACCACTTCAGCTCATTCCTGCTTGCTAGGCTACTTTTGGTCACCAACCTATACAAAAAAAACAAGCTTGAAAATGACCTCCCGAGAGATCTAAAAGTTGCTGTACAGGCTCCCAATAAACCTGCTTATACTTTGTGTCTGGACCATTCTCTATCTACCAATGTATGACCTAGACAATATTTTATGACGTTTCAGTGCACTAAAAGACGTGACGATTTTAGGTTTTTAAGTGTGAATTTTCATAGATGGTGTTAATGGGTCCATTTTCCATTTTGAAGAATTTTAGCAGGTTGCTAATTCAAACTACGCCACAAAGGGATATTTTGAACTTAGCCTGGGGTCATTTTTTCGCTAGATTGTACAAAATGTTTCGGAAAAAAGCATTTATTTTAATTTTTTACTGTTAACCACGAACAAGCCTACAACTAAAAATTGTAAGTCCCGCCTAGATTTAAATGCACAGCTCACCTTATATAGTTAATTTTGTACACATAAAATATGACTGTTTAAAATGTAGGAATGAAAATATTTTTTTTTTTTACTATTCATAACTTAATCATGATGAATTTCCTTATGCCTGTACTTGTAATCGGATATCCGAAAGAGATTTCAAATAGACTTTGACTTCTGTTTTAAAGGAGGAAGATTCTGGATCGTGCATGGGCAATGACGATACAGCCAGTGGGAATGAGGATAGTCCTTGAAATACAAATGTGCGAAGTCCACCTGCTCTTCCCTTCATTTTTACGTCCATGCCAACTAGTGGTGGAAAATGCAATGGATGTTTGCAAAAAGAACTTTTAATTCACCCCTAAAAAATGATAAAAGTGGTTTAGATAATGACTTTCTTAGACAAGCTTGTTTACTTATGGAGAAAAATAGACAGTGTAACTTTGAAGATATATTTTTTTTTTTGTTTTGTTTTTTTAATGTAGTTGATGTTTTTAATGTGATGTGTTTTAAAGTTGGTAAATCTCATCGAGAACAAAAAAATTAAATTGTTCAGTGTATTTTTGCTGTTGCATCTGAGCTGGAGGGTGGGGGGTCAACATTTATTTTCAAAAAAAAAATGTTTTTGTTTTCTACGAAAAAGCAAAACAAAAAAAAGTGGATTGTTTATTATAGATGTGTTGTATCTTTATATAACCTGACTGGATTTTACTCTGTCTGAAAGTTTGTTTTTTGTGTGATCATTTTTTTTTTTTTCATTTAACTAATGTCATGTTTTTGGTTTTTGCCATTAATACATTGTTAACTGGTAATATTTGTCATATGGGTGTCTTTATTCCTTGAGATATCACTGGCACCAGATAAATAGGTTGGGATATTTAAGGGGAAATCAAGGAAACACTCCAATCACTAGATCATGCCGCAGTTATGGTACAAGAGTGCCCCCCATTTACTTTACAGTTTGACTTCTTACTCTGGTCTGCTAGGAGCCAATCACATCCTCCATGGAGATCTGAAAGTTAATGAGCTTCTGTAAGTTCTCTTGCACTAAGCCCTGCGGAGCCCTGCATAGCTCAATGCAGAGAGTTTCCAGCTCTCATAGAGGATGTGAGCTCAGATAAGTTCTCAAACCATAAACAGACTTATTTTGTGAGGGCACTCCTGGCCACTACAATTTTCTGTAGTAGTTATGGTGATTGTGACATCAAGTTTGCAAAATAAAAAAAACTCCAGAGACCACACTCCACTAAGTCTCATCTCTCAAAGGTGCTTGGAAGTACAGAGACTTCTTAAAATGGCTGAAATTGTAAGACAGCCCCTCATAGCTGTCAGTGAGGAAGTCCTAACCCAGCAGCAGTTTCTGCTGCCTGATGTGTTTTCTATAAATTGGAGTGACTTGCAACTGAAGCTTACCTTTCTCTCCTCTGAACTGCAGAGTGCGCATGCCCAGATCAGTTCACTCATTACTGAACAAAGCTAACTAAATGGTGAACCGGGCTGTGTGTAGTTTGATAGTGCTGTAGTTGGCTAACATTTTCAAGTGCATTTTCACTAATCCTATTTGAATGGAGCTGCTTTTAGGTGATAGACTTCTGCTGATTGATGGTTTATGATTGGAATGTCTCTTCCTGGTGAGCATGTTTGTCTGCCTGTTCCACCCTGGAGCCTCTCTAAGCTGTGCAACTAAGGAACTTTGACAGTGTTTTTATTTTATATTTAAAAAATATACATTTTTAATGTATTATGTTTATAATGCATTAAAAATATGTACATCACTAATTCTTATCCTCAAATCTATTTATTTATTACATTTCTAAACCTGTAAGCTGTTCTGCTTCGGTTTTCTGTCGTAATTTTCTGATGGATATTATTTTAGTGAGAGAGAAGATTACCAGTAATATATACTTTCCTAGGGTGCCGCTTGGACTGTAATTATTATTAGACAATTAAAATGGATCAATCCTGTTTGTGTGCTAAACGTGCGTATGTGTATAAAGTCAGAGCCTACTTCCCCATGTAAAGGTCAAGACTTTCAATGTGTTCTAAACAGTGCCATTTTAATTCTGTCAATATTTTGTTCATATTTTCACAAGAGCAACAAATTTAGAATGGTGGAAAAAAAATAAGAAACTATCTATTGGAAAGATTGATAAATCCTTTGCATCGCCAAGAAATGATGCGTCTTCTAAAATGTCAGAATCCAAAGATGAGCTGAGTAATCTTAGGATCCGATACTGGAGATAACAGAACAACCCACAGCAGTATTTAACTGAAAACAAAAAAGGGTTATCCAGTATATCCATTCACGTGTATGACTTGGACATGGAGGGTAGACCGGCTGAGAGCAGTGGATGGTAGGCTCAAAATTAGTGTAGCTGCTACATTTGCCAGGAGAGGGAAGGTATACAGGTACAGTAATTATAGAGTAAGTATATATGTAATTTACAGATTATATTGCAAAAGAGGGGTGTATACAATTATCAAGACTGGAGGAGGTGTATTTTACAAGTTCTAATTAAAATGCTTGGGGAAATTGACTTAATTTAAGCTCTGTATTAAAGGGACAGTCTAATTGGAGATCACTTTGCATGTTCTATTCCTGATCATAAGGGAGACATGGGGAAACACAAACCGGTAAAGAGGATGGAATGCTGGAAAATGGCATTTAACATTAATTTAATTCCTGTCATTCTTTGATTTCTTACATTTATTAAACATTTTAATGTTGGTATTTATATACATAGATCATGTCCTTTTTTGCAAACAATGTAAAACACTGCTAAATCTTGGTGGAAATTTTTTTTACATTTTGTTGAAAACATGCCTCTAGAGTTTTGGTTCCAACCTTTTTTCACTTGAGTATCCCTTGGCAGCCCATTTTCTTAAATTGTACTTTTCATATTGGCAAATATTTTGTAATTACTATAGTTGCTGTTATTTTAAATTTAGCTTGGGGGCAGGGCTCTCTACCTATTTTATTGATCTGTTGTTCTTGTGTTCTTTTTTTCCCCAATTGTACAGCGCTGTGGCATATGTTGGTGTTTTTATAAATGCCAGTATTGATTCTCTCTGCCTGAGGCTCCTGCTGGGCTCCACTTCGTGTGTGTGTGTGTGTGTGTCACATATACAAACAATGACATTATATATATATATTTCTATATATCACATCACAAACAATGAGAGACACACTGATACCCAGACATACAGATGCAAACACCCAAAAGACACAAGCAAGATTTTAGCCTCAAGGTCCAACCTTTTGGGGGCAGGAGGGTGGCTTCCATGGCTGGGGCTGTTAGTTCATTCTGACCTTGTGGGATAGAGATGGATTTATACATTTTTGTTGTGTGTGTGGTTTTTTTTTTAATTTTCAATAATTACATTTTCACCCCCCTTCTATATTAAAATTAGACCCACATTTGCCATCTATGAGCAAGGGACATTAGATGCTGCCGGTTATACACTGCTCAAATAAAATAAAGGGAACACTTAACACAATGTAACTCCGAGTCAATCACACTTCTGTGAAATCAAACTGTCCACTTAGGAAGCAACACTGAGTGACAATCAATTTCACATGCTGTTGTGCAAATGGGATAGACAACAGGTGGAAATTATAGGCAATTAGCAAGACACCCCCCAATAAAGGAGTGGTTCTGCAGGTGGTGACCACAGACCACTTCTCAGTTCCTATGCTTCCTGGCTGATGTTTTGGTCACTGTTGAATGCTGGCGGTGCTTTCACTCTAGTGGTAGCATGAGACGGAGTCTACAACCCACACAAGTGGCTCAGGTAGTGCAGCTCATCCAGGATGGCACATCAATGCCGTGTCTGTCAGCGTAGTGTCCAGAGCATGGAGGCGCTGCCAGGAGACAGGCCAGTACAGCAGGAGTACCTCATTTCACAGCAGTGTGATGGACTGGGAGTCACATTGTGTTGTTGTTTTATTGTATGTGAGCAGTGTGTATTAGAATAATAGATGTGACTATACAGCTAATATCAGCAGAATCCATCAGTAGGTTTCCTGTAGGTGCGCCTGGCTAATAGGATAACGGAAAGTGCAGTAAGTGCTGCTTTTATGGAGGCTAGGGCAATCCCTCAGGTAACGGCGCCGCTACATGACATAACATCCGCCCTCACTGATTCCATTACCCGCCCTATCTTGTCGTGACGTCACATCCTCTCCCCAGACCAGCGCCCGCCTACCCTTCGCGTTTGTATCTATTGTTTTTAAAAACAGTTTTCCAGCCAATAGGCGGCGGGCTTCGTCGCCGTTCTGCGCTGCCATTGGTTGTGGTCGGACAGCAGGCGTGGTCTCCGCCAACCGCCGCCAGATTTGAATTTTGAGCCGAGGGAAGATTTGTGACTATAGCAGCCGGAGCGGGCGGTGATCTCATTGGACGGTAAGTAGTCGGTATGTGCCCGCCTGGTACATCCCATACTGCTCAGCCCTCGGGGAGCGCTCACTCTGCCCCGGGGGGGCTGCCACTGGCTCCCCAGCTGTGTGTCTGCCTGGGCATCATGGGAAATGTAGTCCACAAACCCCTGGGGAGCCAGCATGGGCCCTCTCTGCTCTGGGGGTTGTTTTATAATGGCTGGGGGTTACTGGTACCCCTGGGGAGCCAGCATTGGCCCTCTCTGCTCTGGGGGTTGTTATATAATGGCTGGGTGTTACTGGTACCCCTGGGGAGCCAGCACTGGCCCTCTCTGCTCTGGGGGTTGTTTTATAATGGCTGGGTGTTACTGGTACCCCTGGGGAGCCAGCATTGGCCCTCTCTGCCCTGGGGGGTGTTATATAATGGCTGGGTGTTACTGGTACCCCTGGGGAGCCAGCACTGGCCCTCTCTGCTCTGGGGGTTGTTTTATAATGGCTGGGTGTTACTGGTACCCCTGGGGAGCCAGCATTGGCCCTCTCTGCCCTGGGGGGTGTTATATAATGGCTGGGTGTTACTGGTACCCCTGGGGAGCCAGCACTGGCCCTCTCTGCTCTGGGGGTTGTTTTATAATGGCTGGGTGTTACTGGTACCCCTGGGGAGCCAGCATTGGCCCTCTCTGCTCTGGGGGTTGTTTTATAATGGCTGGGTGTTACTGGTACCCCTGGGGAGCCAGCACTGGCCCTCTCTGCTCTGGGGGTTGTTTTATAATGGCTGGGTGTTACTGGTACCCCTGGGGAGCCAGCACTGGCCCTCTCTGCTCTGGGGGTTGTTTTATAATGGCTGGGTTACTGGTACCCCTGGGGAGCCAGCATTGGCCCTCTGCTCTGGGGGTTGTTTTATAATGTCTGGGTGTTACTGGTACCCCTGGGGAGCCAGCATTGGCCCTCTCTGCTCTGGGGGTTGGGGGGTTGTTTTATAATGGCTGGGTGTTACTGGTACCCCTGGGGAGCCAGCACTGGCCCTCTCTGCTCTGGGGGTTGTTTTATAATGGCTGGGTGTTACTGGTACCCCTGGGGAGCCAGCACTGGCCCTCTCTGCTCTGGGGGGTTGTTTTATAATGGCTGGGGGTTACTGGTACCCCTGGGGAGCCAGCATTGGCCCTCTCTGCTCTGGGGGTTGTTTTATAATGTCTGGGTGTTACTGGTACCCCTGGGGAGCCAGCATTGGCCCTCTCTGCTCTGGGGGTTGTTTTATAATGGCTGGGTGTTACTGGTACCCCTGGGGAGCCAGCACTGGCCCTCTCTGCTCTGGGGGTTGTTTTATAATGGCTGGGTGTTAGTGGTACCCCTGGGGAGCCAGCATTGGCCCTCTCTGCTCTGGGGGTTGTTTTATAATGGCTGGGGCTGGGGGTTACTGGTACCCCTGGGGAGCCAGCATTGGCCCTCTCTACTCTGGGGGCTGTTTTATAATGTCTGGGGGTTACTGGTACCTTGGGGAGCCAGCATTGGCCCTCTCTGCTCTGGGGGTTGTTTTATGTCTGGGTCTTACTGGTATGTTACTGTCATGTAACCCTCTCTGTGTGTTTGCTGTTTTGTGTTTATCATTGTGGCAAAACTAGCCACTAGAGACTATTAATGTGTCAATATGCGTGTATGAGGGCATTCGTATGCTGGCGGTATGAAAACCCCAGCATTCATAATGTAGTTTCACGAACAGTGAGTTTAAACGAATAACATACCGAATGCACGACCACACATGGGGTCGTGTGGCGCCCATTAACCGATTGCAACATTGTTGGAATCGGTAATTAAGTGTGTTTCTAGGTGGCCGTCGTTCGACTACCGACCACGCTGCGGTCGGCCATCTTGATTCTTTTGTTAGCCCAGCGGTGTTTTGTCGTCGAGCGCCTGGAACTAAAAACGGCTACTCGACGGCGCAAACACCGCTGGACTTCCAGGACGTTCGGGAACCCCGGCCGTTCGGTAGTTTATTCCCATTATAATAATCGTATTTTAAACTTATGTTAGAAATAATGTGTATTTCGTACGGCGTTCGGTTAGTTAGACTGGGAGCTGAGCGGTATTCTCACGAACGATGCGCTCAGCCCCCAGCTATCTACCGAACGTCCATTCGTGTAAAACCAGTGAATATTATTAAAGTTATGTATTTTAATGTAAAATGTGAGTTCTGCTGCACGGAGGGATAATCCTATTAACGGTATATTCCAGTGGGAGTATCCCTCTCGTCCAACAGTGCATGATGGGAAAAATGTATGTGTTGGTCAGTTCCCCATGTAGTCCCCTACTGTACAACCCCTGAAATGTCAGTAGGGAAACCCCTTGCATGGGGAATCCCATAAATACAGTGACCTGAAAATAAAACTCAGTTGACCTCCAAGCTATGTGTCGTCTAGTTCTTGGGAGGAAGGGATTGTAACTACGCTACCTGGATTTTACCTGCTTTGTGCCTGCTTGATTCTGTCTACCAGCGGAGATACCGTGGATAATACTACTACTCAGCTACAATTATAATATGTGGACATGTAATATTCACTGATATGGACTGTCAGCATTCTACACTGGGTGTCCTATATCTCAGAATTTGGGGAGTAAAGAAAGGGTTTTCTAACCCTTTTATCTGCCAGAGGGGACTATAGTGTTAGGAACTTGGCAGACTTGTATTCCTAACACTATAGAATCCCTTTAAACCCTGGTCCTATAGCACATGACCAGTTATATACCAGCGATCATATGACATGGTTTCAGCAGTTCAGCTAGCACGCTAAGGGGGCCCCGCAGTTAGTGATGCCCTATCAGCAATGTGCCCTTTTAAAGGGTCACTGTATGCACTCAGACCACTTCAGCTCATTGAAGTGGTCTGAGTGCACAGTCCCTTAACCTACCAGACAGCTTCTAGAGCAACTTCCGTTTTTTTAGGAGACTTTTGGTCACCTGACGCTGGACATCCTCACGCTATG